CATATTTTTAGACTGTAAGAATTTTTGGAGATAATAATGATTTACTGATACAAATCCTGCCAATTAACCTACATTTGGGGGAGAAGAGGTGGATTCATGCCTTTTCCGAGGATATTTACGCCTAAGTAAATATAGCGAACACGACTGCAATTGGAACTCGGAGAACCGAGTTCCAATTCCAAGACATTATCCATTACATGACTCGCACATCCCCCGGAATTGGTCTCGGCATTTTCTTAAATTTGTTTCAACGTGATATGGCCATAAGCCCACGATCCTGGAGAAAGACAACATGAATTTGTTTTGAAAAAGATACACAACCTTCCTTTTTTAAGCGATTGTTCAAAATCAGTGGGTAACCCTAAACCCAATAGATCAAGAAGTGGTTGTCGAAACTTGAGATATTTCCGCCATTTTGAAATAAGACTGAAAGGTGATATTTCAACACGTCTTTCTCTGCAATTCGAGTGTGGAGTGTAAATCTTAAATGTTTTTTTTTGTTTTGTTTTTGTTTTGCTAAAAGTGTAAATGGAAGAACATGATATATTTATGTCATTTCATTCCATTTTTTAACCGTAAAAGGATAAAAATGATTGCAATGTTTAAGCTTCGTACCTAAAACAAACATTGTTTCAACAGGAATGCTTTTCTGTTGATACCGCTGTTACTGTAAATTACTGACACTCCCTCGGCAATGTGTATTTACAAGATTATGAAAATATGTGAATTATTGAAATTATTTACCATTTAATAAAGTAACTTGAAAAATTCAAAAATTTATAAAAACATACAAAATTTTCAATGAATTGTGTTTTTTGGAATGGTCGGCAAAATATCGGCAAATAACCAATCGATTTGTACCTAATGGAATGGCAAATTTTATTCGGTCACTTATTTTTATGATCAAGAAAATATTTTTATATTCTTCATAAACTGGTAAATCGAAACATTTCATTGTATTAGTTTGTTCGCATTTTTAGAATTATAAATATAAAATTATCTTTCTAAATATAAAATAACCATGGCTATTTTTGTTAGGTCCACCATCAATAAACAGTTATATTCAGTACAATTGAAATTAACGATAGATAAAGTAATAACAATAGTTTATTTATGATGATCTGCTTGTTTACTGAGGCTTGGGATGCATTGTCAAAATATTGTGACGGGATTACATCACTATTTTAATCAATGAAGCTTATTTCATATAGTCAACTGATTTATTCAAGCCATTCTCATCCACTAGGACCTCGAGACCAGTAAATGGCAGTCGGTTGTTTTTTGGGGTTTTTTTTAATTCATCCCATGTTGTTTTAACTTCTAAAAATATCAGCGATCTATTTATGTTGTTAGCAAAGCCCCACTTCTCGAATGATAAAAAAAAATCAATGGCTTGACAACCGTTTACAAGACCAACGGGTCTGTATTGATTGATTTGTTTTTTTACGGTTTACCAATTACACCACTCGCACATCCACGGTTACGCCCCCCAAGATTCCCAAGCGGCTTCCTATCTGGTTACCGACCAGGCTCGGTATCTTCTTAACTTTGGTGATCGTAAAGGAACCTGTGTTTCAACCTGATGTGGCCGTAAGCCCACGATCCTAGAGAAAGACAACAACCTGAATTTGTTTTAAAAAAGATATCTAACCTTCCAATATATATCAATATCTCAACTTTCGACACTTAGGTGATCTTAAAGGAACCTCTGTTTCAACGTGATATGGCCGTAAGCCCACGATCCTTGAGAAAGGCAAGAACATTAATTTGTTTTGAAAAAGATGCACAACCTTCCAATATATATCAATATCTCAAGTTACGACACTTAGGTGATTGTAGAGGAACCTGTTTTTCAACGTGATACGGCCGTAAGCCCACGATCCTGTAGAAAGACAACAACTTGAATTTGTTTTGAAAAAGGTACCCAACTGTCCAATATATATCAATATATCAAGTTTCGACACAAGTTTGGTGATTGTCCAGGAACCTATGTTTCAACAATCTAAATGTTCAATATTTTCGTCCCAAAAATCAAAGAACTAAGAAAATATATAAATTCACTTTTATATGTTTGAGTTTTATTAAAATTGTAATGATCCCTTTTTAAAATAATAATCATTGCCGAGAATGTAAAGGTAGCATAAAATAATAGCGGTGTCAAGTAAAAACACGTCATTTTGATACATCATTTTATTTGTGTAAGAAGATTAATCCTTGCGAAAAGTCTTTACAAAGCGTAAAACAGGTAAGTCGAGGAAAATTAGATGTATTTACGTCCTTCCATTCTCTTTTATATCTCTAAAAGAAAAAATATTTACAAACAGTAAAAAAAAGTATGTGCTGTTTATGGAAAAGGTGCTGTAACCATGAGCACTATTCAGAAATGTGTCGCCAGATTCAGAAATGGAAATTTTTATCTTTAAGAACAGGAGACTTCAGACAGGCCTGCGACCGTTGATAATAACCGAATCGAAACGCTGATAAAAAGTAATTCAGGTCAAACGACGCGGGACATCGCAAAGATACTCCACATATCTTATATAAGAGCTGTAAGCTACATTGTTTGGATGCCTCACTATTAATTAAGACTGCATTTCTATCTGCAACTGTCTGTTCAAACATACAAAAAAATCGACACGTTTTTTTCAAAGAAAGATCACAAGCGATGAAAAATGGATTGTTTACAACAAGGTGAAGACATCAATGGTCCTAAGGAAAAATGAAAGTAGCCTACGTTATGCACTCTAAGACATTGAATTCGGACAGGTTCTATACCCAGCCGGATAATCGAAAAAAGTGAACGCAACTGGAGAATCAGAAGGATGCCTTCTTCCGTCAGGACAAGGCCGGGTCTCACATCTCTTTGAAGACCAAGAAAGAATTGGCACAGTTTGGCTGGAATTACTCCTTATTTTGAATTCTGCTAATCGAAAGAACTTCAATTATCTGGAAGAGTCTAACACCCTCCCAGATCACTCGGAAAGTTGCAGAATTCTGCGAGAATAAAATCATGGAACTGGCTCAAAGATGGCAAAAGGTAGTGGAACAAAATGGTATGTGTAAGGTTGAATAAATCTATGTATAAATATGTAAATATTGTCTTAGAAATTCACTACAAAATACCGCTAAAAACATTCACTATACATACACTATAGACGAAAAGTTCGTAGCAAACGTTTGGATTACGAAGGATCAGCTAAAAAGGTTGTGTTCCCTTTTTCAAAACCAATTTACTATCTGTCTATATTTCTGAGATGAGGTATTATGTACACTATTTACATTATTCGGACTATTGTCCTCATCTTTGTCGACATATCTATTACAACCCTTCGGCCGTTGTACGCTCCGGCCTTCTTTAGGTGGTTGGAATGACTTCAAGGACACATGGCACAGTGGATAAAGGCGTTAGTTAGATCCAGTGACAGGAGTCAAAGAGCATGAGTTCAATAACCGGTTAAGGCAGTGGAGAACTTGGAGAGGGGAATTAACAAGAGATAACTGACAACTGATATCCATTAAACATGGCACGTGGAACCCCAGTGATCGAAATAAAGGGTTCAGTTCGACATTCCAAATACCTAAAGAAGTCCGGAGCGTACAACGGCCGAAACGTTTTAATAAATATGGCGAGAAAGATGAGGACAATAGTCCAAATAATGTAAATAGTGTACCAGTTTACTAGCTCATTTCAGGCCAGGGTGGACTGAAGGGTTTTATGTGTTGGTTGTTTTTATTTAGTGGTATATCAACACTTCTATGGGTTATTTAATGCCAAAATCTAAATATTTTGTACGCAATTTTATCTTCTTTTTTTTTTTTTTTTTTTTTGTTGAGATAATAATGGTTTCGTTATACAGGTCTTACTAATTAATCCATAGGTGGGTGGAAATAAGGACTTCTCTTCGAATTGTTTGATTGATTAGTAGATTCGTTTTCTACAAGTTATCAGCTTTTGTGGCGGTCATTTTAAACAAAAAAATATTTTTAAAATGTAAGAATTAATTTATTTTTGGAGATGGAGTAGATAGAAATGATTTAGTAATACAAGTCTTATTAATTAACCCTAGCTGGAGGGAGTAGGGTTGGATTCACATCTAATCAGAATTTATTTAGACATAAAGTGGGGGTAGAAAATCCTACTGGCTGTTTGCAGAAGTATTTGGTAAAGATGTATGGGTAAGATAAAGGAGGGAAAGTTATGGTTAATTTTTTTACGGCTTATCAATCCTTTGCAGGTTATTTAAAGACAGGAAATATTTTTAGACTGTAAGAATTCTTTTTGCGATAATAATGTTTTAATGATATAAATCTAAGTAATTAACCCATAGGTGGGGGAGCAGAGGTAGATACATACCTTTGCCAATGATATTTGTGTGTAAGTAAACATAACGCACCCAAAAGGAATCGGTTCTCCAATTAACAATTCCAAATCATTATCGATTACACCATCTGCAAATCCAAGATTATAACAGCACCTGGTATTCCCAAGCAATCACCCATCCAGGTAGTGACTAGGACTGACGTTGCTTAATTTCGGTGATCGTAAATGGACTGGTGCTTCAGCGTGATTGTGAGCCTGAAGGATTTTATCATATATTTAATAATGTATCTTGCTGACGGATTTACATTTTAGGTGATCACTTTGTTTAAAAAAAAATGAACGTCAAGCAATAATGGATTAAATAGTGTCAGTATCCTATCTTAGTAGGTGTTAATTAAAAAATTAGAAATGATAGCGTGAAAAGCACTAGTTCCATTTTATTAGGATTAATAACAATTCGGCAAAGAGTTACAATTTTCCATTCAGTTTTCATTTTTGCAGGTAAAAAAAAAGGTGATGAAAAACAATGGAAATTTCCATCTCACCCGAGGCTAAATCATAATATCAAATAAATCTTGAGGGCTCGTTACCTTGGCTTCCTCGGCGGTTTTCTGGAGACAGCCAGCGAATATCTTTGAGAAAATATTTGGAAGCCGCCATAAGTGCGTGAAGGCAAACATCACGATGCGCATGCGTAGTCCAGTAGGAGGAATATGAACAATAAGCGAAAACTGGGAATCGTAAAACTGACGATGGGAAGAAATGTAAAAGAGAAAAAAGGTGAAAAAGAAGAAAGGAAGAGTAAGAAAATAAAAAAAAGACAGTGGGTGGATGAGGAGAAAGGAGAACGTGGAGAAGGGACTGAATAAAGGGGGAAGCGTAAGAGAACAAAAGTGGGAGGAAGAGGAGAAAGAAAAACGTAAAGAAGAGATTTAAAAAAGGGAAAAACGTAAGAGAACAATGGTGGGAGGGAGAGGAAAAAGAAGGGACTGAATAAAGGGGGAAGCATAAGAGAACAAAGGTGAGAGGAAGAGGAGAAAGAACGTAGAGAAGGGATTAAAAGAAGGGGGAAGGTAAGAGGAACAAAGGTGATAGGAAGAGTAGAAAGGAGAACGTAGGGATTGAATAAAGTGGGAAGCGTAAGAGAACAATGGTAGGAGGAAGAGGGGAAAGGTGAAGGTAGAGAAGGGATTGAGAAAAGGGAGAAGCTTAAGAGAATAAAGGTAAGAGGAGAAAGGAGAACGTAGAGAAGGGATTGAGAAAAGGGGGAAGCGTAAGAGAACAATAGTGGGGGGAAGGGGAGAAACGAGGACGTAGAGAAGGGATTGAAAAAAGGGGGAAGCGTAAGAGAACAATGGTGGGAGGAAGGGGAGAAACGAGGACGTAGAGAAGGGATTGAAAAAAGGGGGAAGCGTAAGAGAACAATGGTGGGAGGAAGGGGAGAAACGAGGACGTAGAGAAGGGATTGAAAAAGTAATTCGGATTACTAACACCTAAAAAGACAATGTCTCATTTCGAGAATATTTAACATCGAAAAACATAAAGGAGAAAAAAATTAATTGTTTTTAATAATATGTGGAAATCTCCACCCTTTGCCTGATGACGGTCGCAAGACCAGAAACGCGTGTAGTAAAATTATGGAAAATAAAAGCATGATATTTTTTAAAAAAATCTACATTACAACCAAAAACGTTTGTGGTATCTCTCTTCTTTTTAATATACACACTTTTCTCTCGTTGGAACTGCTATAACCTCTTCCTTTATTTTATTATATATATATATATATATATATATATATATATAATATATAAAGAGTAAAAAAATCTATGTCGAACGTGGTCACTGCCTAGATGGGTGACCGCTTGGGAATATCAGGTTTTATGAACTTGGATGTGTGGGTGGTGTAATAGAATTGTTAATCGACATTGGCTTCGTTACAGTCACGTACGCGCAAATACCCTTGAAAACGGTATCAATCCACTTCTTACCCCTCCAACTGTGGGTTAATTAGTAAGACTTGTAGCATTAATTATTATCTCCAAAAAATTGTTTTAGAATCTAAAAATATTTTCTGTCTTTAAATAGCATGCAAATCATTGATAAGCCGTAAAAAAAATGAAACAATCAATCAATGAAATCCTGATTACCTACACTGTCATATCTTTTAGATTTATTTACATTCTCTGGGATATAAATATATAGAAAATACAGTGGCCATAAAGTGAGAGATCAGTTTATATATTGATTTTAATATAGAATTGATCCCCCATTTTCTATCCACATTATTGCTTATTTGTTTAACAAAGTCTGATTAGGTATAAAGCCACTGCTTCTCCTCCCAGCTATAGGTTAATAAGTAAAGACTTGGATCACTAAAACATCATCTAAAAAAAAAAAAGGATTCTTACAATCTAAAAATATTTTCTGGCTTTAAATAACCTGCAAAGGGTTGATAAGCCGTAAAAAACGAAACAATCAATGAAATACTGATTACCTACACTGTCATATCTTTAAATTTATTTACATTCTCTTGGATAAAAATGTATAGAAACTCTTGCGGCCACAAAGTGAGAGATCGGTTTATATATTGATTGAAATATGGAGTTCATCACCCACTTTATATCCACATTATAATTTCGTTTGTTCATCAAATTTTGATTAGGCATTAATCCACGTCTTCTCCCCCACCTAGTGGTTAAATAGTAAAACTAATATCACTAAACCGTCATTATCTAAAAAATGTCTTACAATCAACAAATATCTTCTGGTCTTAAATAAGAGTTGGTAAACCGTAAAAAACGAATCAATCAACCTAGGGATTACCATTATCAAATGGAATTAAAGTATTGGCCTTGGGCCGTACTTGACCAAACTTTGTCATCTTAAAACGGAAAGCATCTTTTCACCTGGGATTTGTTTATTTAAGCGAATTTGGTTACCTTTTGTACAAAAATAGAATAGAAAAAAAAAAACTGTTTTTCTCATTTATTCTACCGGAATACTGAGCAGAAAAATATTATGGTGGAAACAAAAAAAAGAAATAGTATTTACATTTTTTCTAACCTCAGCGTTTGATTTTCTATAAACAAACCGTGTTGTTCGTGATCGTAAAGGAAATGTTATTTCTTGCATGGTCATCCATAATGCATAAATCATTACCGTATTTTTTTTCCAGTGTCTCGGTCGCTAGAAACTTCATTTCTAATGAAACATATTCAGAATGGATTAGTCAAAGATTTATTCGTGTTATTTTACGGAAATCGCATTGCTACAATTTTTTTTTCGGTACTACTAATATTTTATGCAATTAAATGTCTGGCGTTTAAGGCCAATATAACTTAACTTCGATCATATCAGGTTCGATTATCTGTAGCAAATGTTTTATCGACTGAAAGCTGCCATAGTTTGATGGGCAATAAACACCCATTTTATTTTCCCGTTCCTTTATCTGTGCTATAAATGCCGTTCATAGTTACAGAATTTTGAAAATGCACTCTACTTTTAAAAACGTTAGAAACCATTCTCTGTAGTTTTCTATTCGTGTTGAATAGTTCTTGAAAATTAATCTAAAGTAAAAAAAATAAAAAATAAAAAAAAAAACAATTTACCATTATCTAAATGATAGAAATGAAAGTAAATTTTTATCTAAACAATGGTGGACTGGTTAAACGACCGAGTTAAAAAAAAATCAATTTGCTTTATTTTAATTAAATGAAGTTTTAAATCTTCCATAATGTATATCCCCTCCGTCTGTGTCCAGACGTATCCTGGATATTCGCCGTAAATATTTTCGCCGTAGGAAAATTCGCCTCTGAAATTTTCGCCATAGGAAATTTCGCCGTATAGGATTTTTGCCGTAAGACAATTTCACCCCTTTGTTTTTTGTATATTTCAATATTTAGGTATTTATAATGAATTTAAAACAGTCTCTGTTTTCAAATAATTTATGTAAATTTCAGATGACTTACTCAGAGTTTGAAAGAGTTATCTTTCTTTGATCAGATATTTTATATTGAAGTCGGTTGCGTATTCAAGTCCTAAGTTTGAAATAATATATATTGCTTGAGAGAATTATTGGCAGACTGATATTATGTTAACAGAAAGTTTAAAGTTAAGTCTGAAATATAAAATTGCATGACGAAGGTTTTGGTGTTAAGTTGAAATTTCTGTGCTCCTCACTGACGAGGATGAACGATGTAGGATTTTGATCCTATAACTTCGCTTATTAAAATGTTTAAATCGAATTGTGGGAGCCAGATATACTTAATAGCAAAGTACTTCGCATATTAATAAAAAAAAAATGCGGCAAAATTCACTTACGGCAAAATATTCTACGGCAAAAATGTTTACGGCGAATGTTCTTAAAACCATTTTCAGGTGAATACAACAAATTGCATTACAGTTCTGAGTGATCCGAATTTCTACTTATCAAAGTACATTGTCGAATACTAAAGCAAATTGATTTGGGGTCTGGATATATAATCTAGACAATTTCATTTAGATTCTGTTTCTTTTTGTTTCCATCATCTTCGTTATTACGTATGCAACATTTTGATAAAATCTGCCAAGAAAGCAGACATGTTGAAAGAACATGGACGCAAATTTACTGGAGATAATCTAAATTTGAATTTAAGTTGCTTAACTCAACCCCACGCCGTCCGTGTCGTCGTATTAACGTAAACCACAATTTAGTCCGATAAACTCCTAAAGGACGAAACTCGTCACGCGAAAAAATTTTCCTCGTTTTTCGTACTTTTTCTCCTAAAATAATCGTCAACACCCGCAAAAATGTGTTGTAAAAGCCAGAGACGATGATGGGCTGTCGAGGGCCATGGTCACCCACATACTGAAGTGACATTTCCTGGAAGAAACTAGCCATGGCATACGGCTAGATCACGTTGAAGCATCGGTCCCCGGACGATCTTCGAAGTTAAGCAACATCGAGCATAGCCACTATCTAGATGGGTGACCGCTTGAGGATACGAGGTTCTGTGAATTTGGATGTACGATTGGTGTATTAGATAATGGCTCGGAATTGTTAATCGGCCTTGGCTTCGTTACAGTCATGTACGCGCAAATACCCTTGGAAAAGATATCAATCCACCTCTTATCCCCCAGCTATGGGTTAATTAGTAAGACTTGTAGCACTAAACTATTATTATCTCAACGTAAACCACAATTTAGCCCGATGAAGTCTTAAAGGACGAAATATACTTTTTTTTCCCCTAAAATAGTCGTCGACACCCGCTTGCATCAGGGTCGCCATCCTTATTCGCCATCTCTTTATTCCATTTCCCAGCTCTGATGGAGAAGATGGCTGTGAAGGCTCAGCCTATTCCTGAAGAGTCGTGACCAAGCGTCACAGAAGAGTATGTGGATGCTCAACGCGGCTTGGCGAGTTAGGCCCTCCTGACAGCACGTCGCAGATCCTCTGCATGTTGACGGTTGGACTCGAAAGTCTCGGTCATCTCCCGCCATGGATGGTTCTATCCCGGGAAGGCCGATTTGCAACAACGATTTCCAAGGTCTCAGGGTCGATATCGGCCTGTGTCAGGGAGATCTTCAACGTAAACCACAATTTAGTCTGATGAAGTCCTGAAGGACGAAATGCGTCACGCGAAAACTTCAACTGATCGTCAAAGGTGGTTTTGGCGCTCCGTGTAGCTTTTTGTCGCCAGCGTGTTTTCTAAACAGGAAGACAGTCGGAGTCGAATGGGACGTATTCTAGACACGTGACCGGACCAGCGCAGGCGTGTTGAAGGATGGTAGCCTCAATGGTGGAGAAATAATAAATGTAACTTGTTTATTGCAATTAAGTGATATGTCTTGGCGAATTATATTCCGAATTGGGTTTTTTTTTGTGGGGGGGGGGGTTATATTTAAGTTGCGGCAGAATAAATTTACGCCATGTTTATTTTTAATTATATCAGGAGAGCTGTTTGTGTCATTTTTTTTTTTCAAGGATTCTTTAAGTTTAATTTTATTTGCTCGTTGTCGACATGGTTGATTCTTTATAAAATTCTTGAATCTTTATAAATTAATCTGTGTGAAGAATTTAATTTAATTTTTTTTTTTTTTTTTTTTTTGCTCAGTTAATTGTTTTTCTAAATCTTTTTTTTTTTAATCTGTCAGTTTGTAATTAAAATGTCCCGGTTTTCTGCTTACGGGTTTATTTGTTTGTTTGCAGTGATTAACGCGGGCCTTAAAGTCATATTATGTTGAAACACCGGTTCTCGTACGATTACCGAAGTTAAGAAACGTTGCCCCTGGTCACTACCTAGATGGGTGACCGCTCGGGAATACCAGGTTCTGTGAACTTGGATATGTGTGTTGTGTAATATATAATGGCTCGAAATTGTTAATCGAAATTGGCTTCGTTTTTGCGTCACGTACGCTCAAAAACCCATACAAGAGGTATCAATCTACCTCTTATCCCCCAGCTATGGGTTAATTAGTAATACTTGTCGTACTAAGCCATTATTATCTCAAAAAAATTGTCTTAGAATCTAAAAATATTTTCTCTCTTTAAATAACCTGCAAAGGGTTGATAAACCGTAAAAACGAACCAGCCAGCCAACCAATCAATCAATCAATCAAATACTGATTATCTACATTGTCATATCGTTAAGATTTACATTTTCTGGGACATTAATGCATAGAAACTTCTGTGGCCACAAAGTGAGAGATCAGTTTATATACAGAGTTCAATATGGATTTGATCACCCACTTTATATCCACATTATAATTTTATATCACGTTGAAACACCGTTTCTCGTAAGATAACAGAAAAATTCCCCGTTACATTATTTGTTTTGCATAAGTGGCAAACTTAATGAATTTTCATTAACATTACATAATTTTTTTTCCTTCAAATCAATTCCGTTATATTTCACTCTTCATTAGATTATTTGGTTTACTATAAAACATTGAAAATAAACGTTAAACCTGATTTCAGTTCTTTTATTTTCATCTAAATATAACCCCTCATATCCGGATTTTCTAACCAATTCCTTATATCCGGAATCCCTCATATCCGGACTTTGTAACCAATTCCTCATATCCGGACTTTGTAACCAATTCCTATATCCGGAATCCCTCATATCCGGACTTTGTAACCAATTCCTATATTCGGAATCCTTCATATCCGGACTTTGTAACCAATTCCTCATATCCGGACTTTGTAACCAATTCCTCATATCCGGAATCTGTAACCAATTCCTCATATCCGGAATCTGTAACCAATTCCTCATATCCGGAAGGCCTTTTTAGTCCGGCTGTCAGGGATTCTAACTGTATTAAGAAACAGAAGAATTTTATAAGAAACAAAGAAAAGTGCACTGAAATGTTATGTAATATCCATCCACTTTATGGCTGTGAATACTGGATTTGAAGCGACAGAAATATGATTTTACAGAAGGATGCTGGGAATACCATGGACCGAACATGTTAGTAACCACGACGTTCTAGAGACAATGAAAACAAAAAGGAAACATAATTAACATCAAGAAGAGAAAGTTAAAATTTCTCGGGCACATAATGAGGAAAGAGGGCTTAGGAAATCTGATACTCACAGGATAGATTGAAGGCAAGATTGATAATAATAAAAAAACAATTCCTAACCTACCTGGCGAGCTTGAGTGAATAGACGTCCGAGCAACATTTGGGAGAGCTAGCAAAAAGACAACATATATTAAGTGATACTAAGTGCAGAAAATATGCGAGAGCCATGATTGCCAATGTCCTAAATGGACACCGCACATACAGGCAGACCCTTTCATGATGGATGCGTCTTCTCTCAGGGAGGCTCCTTGACTTGAACGTCTACAGGGACTCAAGCTCAATTCAAACCTCCAGTTGAACTCGTATATCCGAGCAAATTGTTGAAGATGGTCGGTTCATCGTACCGCTCCAGTAAGTATCTGACGCCCTATTTTATATTCTATATTTACATGTGTCAGATCCCACCAAAAGTGGTGTATTGCTGCCATATCTGGAGCTGTCCAATCCACATTTGCCTGGGTTGATACAGTTCAAAAGCGTCTGCGTGTGATGAATTATTTCTACCTTGCAACCTTTTCCCCATTTGAATACACGGTAGATGATACTCAGCTTTCGTGCATATAAAGGGTGTTTCATTAAGACGGATTATATATAAGACGGATCAAAGTCAGTAATAAATAAATCAGTGTTATCGGTGAAAATTTATTTATTTCTCTATTGGATCATGTTATTTAAGTCATGGCAATTATGTGTGGAAAATAATATCGCTCGAATGTCCGCAAGGCTTCGACGACACACCTCCACTCGATGGTCAAAATGTTTGATGACGTCTCTGCATAGTTGCTCCTCGATCTCACCAATATGCCTTATTATCTCATCCTTCAGTTGTTGAATTGTTGTTGGCTTGTTGGCATAGACCTTAGATTTGAGATGACCCCAAAGGAAGAAATCTAAAGGCGTCAAGTTGCATGATCGTGGTGGCAAAATGACTTTGCTGTTTCGAGAGATGATTTGACCTGGGAACTTCTCATTGCATTTCTGTTTGAACGTTCATTTTCATAGTAGGCTTTGATAACTTTAACACGCTGTCTGGTTGTTAATCTTTCCATGGCTGAAATTGCCTAAGACTTAAGTGGTTAAATCTGAAAGAAAAAGAAAAAATATCATTAGACGCTTAAAGTTAATTCACATTTAAAATCGGTCCAAATTATTGGAACAGCCAAGGGTGTTTCATTAAGACGGATCAAAGTCAGCTGTAAATAAATCAGTGTTATTGGTGAAAATTTATTTATTTTTCTATTGGATCCTGTTATTTAAGCCAGGGCAATTATGCGTGAAAAATGTCCGCCAAATCTGAAAGAAAAAGAAAAGAAAAAATCATTAGACGCTTAAACTTAATTCACATTTAAAATCGGTCTAAGTTATTGGAACACCCTTTATTATGTAAATCTTTATTATTAAAAAAAAGAAAAGCCAGAATCAGGCCGATTTTTTTTTATGGTCGCACCGTATAATTGGCTAAGGAAATCCTGAATTTTAGAAACCAGGTGAAGATCTAGTACCCTGAAGGAATTTAGTCTGTTGTAGACACAGCAACGTTTTGGAGGGGTATTAGGTTAAATGCATAAGTTTTTAAATCTAAAAGAAAAAGAAAAAAAATCATTAGACGCTTAAACTTAATTCACATTTAAAATCGGTCCAAGTTATATGAAAACCCTTTACAAGCAGAATCCGCTACATGCTGTATTCTATCTTCTTCGCTGAATCCTAGGTCATTGTTTGGTGTATATTTTTTGCTAGCGGAATCATTGGGCCGTATATTTATAAATTTGAACGTCCATTTTCGTAATAGGCTTCGATAACTTTAATGCCTTGTTTGATTGTTAATCTTTCCATGGTTGAACTTGCCAAAGATTTAAGTTGTTAAATTTGAAAGAAGAAAAAAAAATCATTAGACGCTTAAACTTACTTCACATTTAAAATCGGTCCAAGTTATTGGAACACCGTTTATTATGTTAATCTTTATTATTAAAAAAAGAAAAGCCAGAATCAGGCCGATTTTTGAAAATATGGTCGCACCGAATAATTGACTAAGGAAATCCTGAATTTTAAAAACCAGTTGAAGATCTGATACCCTGATGGAATTTAGTCTGTTGTAGACACAGCAACGCTTTGAAAGGGTACGAGGTAAAGTGCGTAAGTTGTTAAATATGAAAGAAAAAGAAAAAAATTAGACGCTTAAACTTAATTCAAATTTAAAACCAGTCCAAGTTATTGGAACATTCTTTACATGTTAGTGTGGACATAATTAAAAGAGTTGATGATAAGTGTGCTTCATGTTGTAGCATTTTTTAAAGTTATATTTTGGAATAAAATTTTTAAGAAACTGTATATTATATGGATTAATGTCATGAGAGAGAAATGTATTGCTGGTATTTTTACCATAAAATGTGTTTTTTATAGTTTCATAGTGTTTCATTTGGGCGGGGTTTAACTAATTACCCGCATCTGGGACCCTAATAGGTGCTACCACCCCGGGTTAGGGTGGACCTGAGAACAACAACAACAATTAAAAGGTGGTTCTATGCTCCTCAAAACCTCGAATCTCCCAATCAGAGGCCTTTCTATCGGATGTAGTTTATGGTCATATCCAGGGCGAACAAATCACCCAAAAGAATGAAAGAATATAAAAATAGAATATAAAATAACAAACCATTTATATACAGTTCTTCTCGGTAACAAGGAAATTGCAGAATGCATTGATTTATTTGTCTGTTTAATGGCATATTTACAACTTATGGGTCATTTAATATGTTATATTTTATTCTGCTTTCACAATTGAATACATGGTAATTAATTCTCAGCTTTTTTTGTTTATACATGTTTGTGTGGACAGGACTACTAGAGGTGGTGATATGTGTGTTTTATGTTGTAGTTTTGTTGAAGTTAAATTTAGGAATACAGTTTGATTTCTTTAAGAAATTGTAGAATTTTATATGGATTAATGTCATAAAAGAGTTCTTTCCTGTCGATTTTGTTTAGCGGCATATAAACACCTCTATGGGTCATTTAGTGCCGAATATCTAAATATGTTGAACACAATTTTATGGTTTTAACTAAAGATAGCGTCCTGGGTAAGACGATAAACTACACCCAACAGCAAGGCCTATGATCAAAAGGTTTTGAGGAGCGTGGAACAACCTTTTAATTACTCCCAGTTCCTCCTGACACGGGGTGGTAGCACCTGTTAGGGGTTCCAGCTTCGACTGCATCCGTCGTGGCAAACTCCAAGAGATCAGGTTAGAATAGTGATTTTCTAAGCGTAGCTAAGATGTGGCACAAGGTCTTAATTAGGGGGCACCCAGTGAAGATCAAACTCACTACTCAGTCGTAATTGGGCTTAGCAAGCCAAGCTTGCTAACCATTACACCACCTCGAGGTGCCCAGAGATCATGTTAGAATATGTGATCCTGCAAAAACAGTATAAGCCAAAATGATGCTCATTATTTACATTATTCGGACTATTGTACTCATCTTTGTCGCCATATTTATTACAACGTTTCGGAAAACGATGCTGTATAAAAACCCTCGCTAAATGGTCCGATCTCCCAGTGGAGATACGGAGCTTTTCAACGTTGTCGCGGGAGTTTTGCAAAGAGATACGCTTGCTCCTTTTCTTTTCATTCTGTGCCTAGATTACGCGCAGCGAACATCTATTGATCTAAACACACATCTGGGGTTCGCCATTGAAAAAGCAAGACGTTCACGTCACCCAGCAACAACAATAACAGGCGTAGATTACGCAGATGACCT